AACTATTGTGTTCCTGCCAAATTTGGTGAGCATGACACAGCCCAGGCACGTCCCTGGAGCACGCAACATTTTTGGCTCTTTGGATGCTGATAGAGATGTATGTAGCCACACGGGGTGGATGTGGTGGGAGGTCTTACCGGCCTAGGGCCCACCTAGGGGTTCCTCCCTCTATACAACTCCAGTTACAGTCTGAGGATGGAAGTGAAGCCACTTGCAGCACCTAATTGTCTTAACATTCAAGTATCAATTTAAATGTCACCTACAGAGAGGCCTTTTCCTGACCTCTCCTCTTCTGAAGGGGTTCACCCTACTCACTGCCCATTCCCTTACCCTAATTTCTCTCATACAGTTCCATCTGAAATGATATATCAGTATTTTTGTGTTTGCCCACATTGCACAGTAGAATATAAACTCCAGAAGCAAGAGCAGCATCTGCCTCGTCCCTACTGTATCCTCAGCATCCAGGAGAGTGTCTGGCACTAGTAGACACTTGATAAATACTTACTGAGAGCAGGGATTTCTTGCTTATCTTTCAAACAGCTCCTAGCAGCCTGTCCTGAAAGTTGGGTCTCCCTGGTACCCCTTGGCAACTTCCCTTCTTTGTCTCAGACGTTTCAAAGGGGTCCTGATGACGTATCTCCTATAAGATGCCCATTCCTCTCTCCCAGGCCAGCTCCCATCCAAAGTGCCCAGAAAACAACAGACTTTTAGCCCTCAAAAAAGATAGTGGTTTCCTACAAGAGCTGAACGTAGTTCTGCAATTGTTTTTCATGCCAGGTCTTAGGCCAAAACTCTTCATCAAATCAGGCATTTTCCAGCTGGCCTAGCACGGAAAGTCCTCCCCACTAGGGCTGGAATCCACTGTCAAACAGATTTCCTGAGTAAAACTTTGTTCCCTCTATAAATATTTAGCTGGAACCTAAAATATTAATGTTCTCCCACATACTCCCGGGAGAAAGCAAATTACCAGTCTCAGATTGTCTCTAGATGACAGCCTTTCCAATAACTACCCATAATCAGGTGCAGTGGCCTCCCTGGTTTGCTTGCCTAGTTCACTGGCCTTCACTGCCATGTTAAATGTCTTGTGCCTCAGTTAGAGGGAGGAGGGAGATTGGCCTCTTTTGCAAATCCTTTTCATCAATTTCTTTGATCATTAATAGCTCACAACTCCTCCAGTGGCAGGATGGTGTTGCTGCCCTATCAGCACATTCGGGTGCAAAGGTGAGGGGCAAAGGTCCCCCAGGTTATCTATCTCCCTCCTCCTTGTCTCCTGACCCCCTTGGAGTCTTCCCTGGGATTGGAAGTGCAGAGTCCAGGAGAATGCCAAGGAGCCAGGGCAGGGGGGCCAGGAGATGCCTCCCCCATTCCCCTGCTGAGGGGAGCAGGAGGTAGGGGGAGGGAACCCTGAGACTCAGAGATGAGAAGGTAGGCTTGCGTGCCTGATTGTGCTGGCTGGAGCTACACAGAAGCAGGCGCTTACTGACCACAAGTGCCCCCAGAGCTTACCTGGCAAGAATTCAGACTCCAGTCTAGACCTGTGTTGCTAGACAGGAATGTGAGGAACATTGCAATACAGATGAGGCTGAGGATAGGGTCACTGTTTCCAGCCCTTGGCCACCCTTGAATTGTCTTTTTTTTTTTTTGCCACACTGCGTGGCATGGGGGGATCTTAGATCCCTGACCAGGGATCAAACCCGCGCCCCCTGCAGTAGAAGCTCGGAGTCCCAACCACTGGACCACTGGGGAAATCCCTTGAATTGTCCTCTTGAAAGAACTGTTGCTGTACTCTCAGGCCTCAGCTGTGGCCTCTGCTCCTTGCTGGAACTTCACTCGGCATTCACTCATCTCTCCTTTTTCCTGTCCCTTCTTCCCCCCACTTTCCCTCCAGACCCCCAGCCTCTCCTAGCTTCTACAGACCAGCTCCTACATTAAGTATTGTTACAAGTCTACCAGTATGCAGACAGAGCTGGTTTCGAGTGACTTTGGCATTGACCCGGCAGCATGTAGCCAGGGGACCTGGAAACCCCTCCTTATAGAACTGGATGGGCCCAGCTTCTCACATGCCTTGTGCTGTAGCTTGAACTGGCAGTTGGTGACTAGCAGGTTCCAAAGCTCCTATTTATTCTTGAAGCTGCCTTGTTTCTATTTTGATTCTGCTAATCCAAATTGCAGTTTGGTGTTTCCACGGAAACAATTCAGGGATTGTTTGGCTTTCCAAGATGAACTGTGGGGGAGAGAACCGAATGACGTAAAACATTTTTAGTTTCTCAAACATCAATGTCTCCCCAATAAATCTTTGGTCCCAAGTTTATTAAAATAAATGTTCTAGGCAAAAAATGTTCCAGGCTCCTTTTATTCCTCCAGCTAAATCCCTAGAGACTAACTCCTCAAACCCCTGCTCTGTGCAGAGGAGCACACATCTGCCCGCCACCCTGAAGCAGATGACAAAGGCAGGAAAGTGTCCTTTGGGCACCTTGGGGAGCCAGGGATGCAGAGACAAGAGTAGATGTCACCAGGGAAATGACCACATGGCCACCCCAGCTACTCTGGGACTGGCATGCCAGAGGCTCAGGGCTCACCTGCTTTACTAAATAGCTGTGTTTCTACAGTGAGGAAAAGCTCCTCATTTAAGGATTCCAGGATGAATTAGCCCTTTTGGTAAATCTGAATTTTCACATAAAGGCTTTGCTAAAACAGAGGTATATTTGTCTATCCAACCAGGGAAAACCTGACCCCTCCCTCCTTCCCCACCTCTACCCCAGGCTCCGCCCTCATTCCCAAGGGCCACAGTCTCTGCTGCAGGCAGAAGAAAAATCCTCTCATTTCAGTCTTGCAGGGTTAGGGCTAGATCCCCATTCCCAGCACTGAGTGCTGAGAAACAGCTCTGTGAGACCCAGAGTTTCTGGCCCTGAGGGTCCAGCACCCGCAGGGAAGGGCGACCCCCTTGTCAGGGTCCTGCTGAGCACCCCCTGGCAGGCCCTGGACCTGCACCAGTTCCTGTAAACTGTGAAGGTCACCTCTGGGCAGGTTTCTGGTGAGGGATGCCCATGGCTGGTTGAAGATGAGGGTTTTAAAAAACAACTCGAATTTCTTTTTTCTACAGAAGTGACACATGTCAGCTGCAGATAAATTTTAAAATACAGACAAGAAGAAGACCTAAACCCTCCTTGTTCCTCCATAACAATTTTCTGCATGTGTGCTCATACACACATTTCACAAACTTGGGATCAACTGCATTTTTAAAACAAATAAATACATCTTAAATTTTGCAATAAATTCAGATTTACAGGAAAGTTGCAAAGACAATAAGTTCAAATATATCCTTCACTCAGCTTCTCTTAATGTTAACATCTTGCATAACTGTGGCATACTTGTCAAAACTAAGAAACTAATAACCATATTAACTAAACTTGAGCCTGTATTTAGATTTGATCCGTTTTTCCATTAATGTCCTCTCTGTTCCAGGACACAATCCAGGACACCGCACTGCATTTAGTCATTGTGTCTCCTCAGTGTCCGCTGCTCTGTGACAGATTTTGAGTCTTTCCTTGTTTTTAATGACCTTGACAGTCTTGAGTACTGGCCAGGTATCCTGTAGAATATCCCCCAAACTGGGTTCATCTGATGTTTGTCTCACAATTAGATTGGGGCTGGGAGGTTTTGGTAGGAATACCATGGAAATGAAGCACCCTTCTCATCGCATCCTGTCAGCGGTGGGTGACGTGCACAGGACAGCACGAGTGGTGCTCATCTTCATCACTTGGTTAAGTGGTGTCTGCCAGGCTTCTCCATGTAATCTACTATCTTTCCCTTTCCCAGCTCTATTCCTTGGAAGCGAGTCACTAAGTTCAGCTCACCCTCAAGGGGTGGTAACAGGCAGGGGTTGGGGGAGATGAGGATTAAGCCCCACATCCTCTGTGGGAGAGTATCCACATCAAGGCATATTATTTGGAACTCACTGTTGGGAGACCTGGTTTTTTGAATATCAAGTAGCCTGACAACTCTCCCTCCAGATGGCCTCATTCCCCCTGGAGTGGGGCAGGCAAGAAGCTGTGAGCATTTCTTCTTATTTGCTCCTGTCTCTCCTATTCAGGGAATAGAAAGTGAACCCCAATTCCATAATCTGTGATGTTTATTATCTGCTGCAGGGAGTGAGTGTACGGTGGCTTGGAAGGAGCCTCTGGTTAGCCCGTCCTGCCCTCTACCCCCCAGCGGAGGCCTGTCCCATGAAGTGGCCGGAGGCTAGTTCTCAGGGGCAGGCAAGTGCCCAGTCTCACACAGCTACGGAGTAGATGCAAGGTCTCTACCTGGGGGCCCAGAGGAATCTCCAGACCTGTAGTAAAGGGGTGATGCCAGCTCTGCAGCCTGCCCTATGCTGGATCACTAGCCTAAAATATGGACTGGTGGGGGGTCCTCGGCCCCTGGGACTTCCTCCCAGCTCCTTGGTTTGAGTTTTGGGTCTTACAACAGCTTTGCACCAGACTCCTTACCCCCATACTCCCCTATGCCTAGGAGGCGGGCACTTCCGAGACTCAGCTTCTGGGAGGCATGATACCTTGCCCAACAGCTTATTAGGTTTCCTGAAAGAACATCATGGTTTTGAGAGATCTGTCCAAATAATTTCTGATGATGTCCTTTCTCTCAAGCTGTGGTGGAGGGTTGGCTCCAGCCCAGGAAACCTAATAAGGGATGCTACCAGCCCCTCTGACACAAGTAGGAGGCCTTTGCAGAGGGCTTTGAGCTGGGCAGGGGCAAGGATGGAGGGATTGAGGGTCTGGACACGAAGAGGGCATGAGGCCCATGCAGGGGACAGGCAGCCTTGTGTGCAAAATGCGCAAATATGGCAGAGGGTCTGGGGCCAAGGTCCATCTTGACGCCAGTTCCTCCATACAGGCTGAGCTGGCCTGGGATGGGCTGGTCCCAGGGGTACAGAAAGCCCATGCTGGTTGTAGCCCTCGTACTTTTTCAGGGGTCCGTGGAAAAGAACATGAAGACACACAGCAGAGGCCCAAGACCTGCACCTGCCTTGGGTTCTGGGTATATTGAACATCAATCAATAAAACAGTCAAGATGTTAAAAAAAAAAAGGTGAAAAAAAAAAGAAACACTTCAGAGCAACAGAATTAAACAAACAAACAAACTGGGCTCTCAGCTCAAGAAGGGACACAACTGGAAGTTAAAAAGATTGGGGTAATTCAGATTCTGCCAAGCCTCTGAAGAATGTGGCCCCTGATGACAACTGTGACTGCCCTGCACAGATGCCCTAACATCAGACTCCTGCTGTAAAGAATCAAAGCTGAAGTCAACTGTCCTTACTCAATTCGGTATTTAAAAGAGGTCAGCAAATTGTAGTCCTCTTCCAAGTCCAGAACAGTCTCCACGATACTGTGATCATAGAAAGCCTGCTTGAGGCTGCCAGGGTCTGCATCCGAGGCTTCCTGAGGGCTCTCGTCCACCAGCAGGGCCCAGGCGTCCGCCTTGAAGGGCAAATCTTCACAGCAACCACACACACGATTCAACTCATTTTCAAATTCTAGTTTTCCAGCCAATTCTTCAATAGTTTGGATGCCTGTATGGTCTTAAAAATAAAAACATTCAGCATTACAATTCCAGTGAGAGATTTCTTAAGACATTTCAGGCACAAGTTAAAAACCACAAATGGGCGGCCATTTCCGAGGACTCTACAAAGCCGGTGTTCCTGCCCCCGGGGCTGGCAGGCTGCCACATTCTAACATGGGCTTGGTGTCCCTCTTCCTAGCTCAGGTATTTATTGAGCCCCAACCATCTCCTTGGTTTCCAAGGAGGGTTTAAGTGGGAGGATACAGAGATGCATGTGTTTGTTCCAGCCCTCAAGAAACTACTCCCTGACCTGTGGGCACAAGACATAGTGTGAGAAAAATGGGATCTTTGGGGTAATCAAAATGCTGCCTGCTGGGACTTCCCTGGCGGTCCAGCGGTTAAGACTCTGAGCTTCCAGTGCAGGGAGCACGGGTTCGATCCCTGATCGTGGAACTAAGATCCCACATGCTGTGCGGCGTGGCCAAAAAATGAGAAAAAAAAAGCTAAAAATAAAATAGCTTTTAAAAAAACATAGTCCACACACAGAATATACAGATGTGTGTGTAGAGAAAGTATCTATGACAGGGTATACAGCACTGTGTTAACAGTGGCTGCCTTTGTGGTGGATGGTGGAATTATAGGGGAGTTTTTGGCTTCTAACTTTTCTTCTAATCTTGTATTAATGCCCCCCCTCCCCCAGCTGGACTACTCTCCTCTACCCCTACCCCCATCTCTGCCTATGTCCTGTTTCCTTCACATCTAAGCTCATCCACCAACAGGGGCTGCTGTCCCTGGCCTCCAAGGATTCACTCTAACTGTACATTTATGAAATGACTTGACTGATGTGTAACTCCCCCAGGTTATCAGCTCCATGAAGGCTCTCTGCTGTGAGCAAAACAAATCTAACAAGCCAGTGGAAAAGAAATGAGGATTTTTTTTTTTATAAGATGCTTGCTGACTCAGGGGCCCGTGTGAAGAACCTATCCTTCCAGAGAGAGGATGCACCAGCCCTCTGTACTCACCGATCATGTCAAGCAAATCCTTTGTGACCTCTTGGCTAGAACTGCTGAGTGGCATGTTTGACTCAACCTTCAAATCTTTCTCCATATCTTTCCTGCAGCCCCCAGGTGAAAAGAAAAAGGTGGGGGATTAGATCCTCTTTCAAGAAAATACTGGAGAGGAACTCAGTGTTAGATAATCTTAAAGACAAACACTGGTACTTTAAATTGTCATTTATGCTGTGATTAGAGGATGACTGGGAACCACTGAATCAGTGAAGTTGACTAAAAGCATCATAATGCCCATTAATGTTTGTGAATATGAGCACAAATATTTGTAGAACTGAAATGATTAAATGGCTTCTTCAGTCTCTGACTACAGAGCAACCAAGATGGCAGAACCTTGAAGTTTCAGCGCATGTGGTCCTCCTTGCTTCAAATCAAGGTGCCTAGGATGAGGCAGTTTGCAGCTACCTGGGAGAAGAAAAGGTCTAGGGAAGACCTTATCCCAGGGAAAGCCTAAAAAGCTCTGGGATGAGGAAGGGGAGCAGAAGCAAGGGTGAAGTCAGGGCCCAGCCATTGATCCACCTCTCCCCAGTTTGGGGAAAAAAACACTGGAATTAAGATACGTGTTTCTGCAGTACAAAAAATAAGATGACTTTTAAAACTAGGTTCTTTAACATTCACTACCCCTTTTGGTACTGCAGAGTGGTTTCCATGACTGGTTAGACATCCAAGACCCCTCACCCCCTCAAACCAAACACACACACACACACACAACACACTCTTTCTGAAGAACGTTTACAAAGTTTCCAAATAAAGTCTTAGAGCTTCAGAGGGGAGGCAAGAGTAGTGTTATGGATTCAATTTAGGATTTTCAACAATTTTTTCAGATATGAGATAACCCTAATTATAGCTATTGAACTATTCAGATTGGAATCACCTTAGACTGTCTTTTCTCCAGTTCTCCCCATCTCCTGCCGCTCTCCAAAACTGTCTCTCAGGTGCCAAAATCGAGGAAGGCATCGATATGTTTTCCTTGCTGGTCAGAGGTTTTCTTTTGGGGCATAGAGCACGTGTCTTTGCACTCACGGGTTCGTGGTTTGGTGCAAAGGCAGGGCTCTCATTCCCAGGAGCAAACGGGACAGGAGAGAAAGGAGCCGCAGAGGAGCAGGCTGCCAGCGGGTGCCTCCTGCAGAGGAGCCTGTGCATGGGGAAGGGGAAAGAAAGCGGCGCAGCGTCCAGCTCCTGCCTCTGCATGCCTGAGCACTCCTGGGAATGACTGAGTCCTTCAAAGGCCCGGTCAATGGCTGCAGTCAGCTCCTTTCTGCATCTTCTCAGTTTTTCAGACATCTCCCCTAAAAGCGACCATGTCTTTATTATACAATACACTGGAAATGCACACAGCAACGTGAAAATAATGTTACAGATGAGGTTGTAAACCACCCCCAAATGGAGTATTTGCCACCATTTCCTTAAGTTTGACCCACACCATGGGTCGGAGAGCAGGGAAACCCCCACTCCCGGCGCTTTTTCCTCCGTGGGGTCAGGTGCGGCCCGCGGTTCTCCGGGAGGGAGGAACCGGCAGTGGAGCCGGAACCGCTCCCCCTCCCCCGGCTCCGGGCCCCTCATCCCAGCCCGCAGCCCCTTCGGTCGCAGACTCCGGCCCGGCCCCACCCAGCGGCCAGCCCCCGAGCGGAGACCCACAGCCGGGTCCTCACCGAGCAGCCGGCGCTCCCGCACCACCGCCCCTACCAACGGTCGTCGCGCACGTCCTCATCGATCGCGTGTGCCCGCGACTGACAGACCCAACCCCCACGGCTCAGGTTAAAGGTCAGACAAGAAAAGCCCAGATGACCTTGTTCTCTGAACCAACGCAAGGGGGAGCAAGGGCCCCACGCACGGAGGGGACAGTGGTCTCAGGCCTCCCCGCGACAAAGACAACGGCCCTGGGAGTGCGGCCGGGCAGGCATGCGGAGGCCAGACCGCCGAAAGAAAATCGTCTGGAGGGGCGGGGATCTCACTTCTAACCGAAGTCAGCAGCGAGAATGGGAGCCCTTCCCAAGCCCAGGAAGGTTCCCATTCTCGAGCCAACAGGGAGAGAAACGACTGGACGCGACCCAGTACCCAGCGGTTTAGTGTACCAACTTCCAAGTGATATCTAATAAAAGTGCCAGAGGGGTATCAATTCATCAAGGATGCTGGGGTACATAACAGAACTGCTAGGTTCCACAGGAGACGGAGGGGCAGGAAACCCCAACACCAAGCATCTTCATTTCATTAGGGAGAAGAAAGCTGGATATTCCAAGATGACACAAAGGGAAACAGAAATGGGCTTTGGTGGCTAATTTTTAGGGTATTATAAACCCATCTCAGTGCACAGCAAGGGAGAAGGGGATGACATCATTTAGTCGAGGCTTCATTTACTGTGGGCAGACTACTGGGGGGAACAGTAATCATTCACCAGCCTGTGGCAGGTCTTCATGGCCACACCAAACTCAATGACAGTGTGTTCCTCTCCGTTCTCTGGAATCCATCAGACATATTCCATTATGTGCCCCCCCTCCCGACCCCTACTTTGCAGCTCCACGAGGTTTTACAGAAATTTCTCACCACCTGTATAAAAAGAAAAATAATTCAGCCTCCTAACATAACCCTTTTTTTTTTTTTCTCATAAAAGAAAGAATTTCCTCATCCGGTTTTTAGACGGAACACTAGCAAGTCTTCAGTGTCAAAGGTGTTCTCCTGAGGGACTGCACCGGTGCTGTGGTGCAGCGTCACTGAGGCAGCATCAGTTGGTGTCCATGCTGCAAGTCTCATCATCCCCCATGCCCTGCTGTAAGCTGCCTGGTCTCGTCCCTCCATCAAAGGATCCAGGAAAACTGAGTGAAGTCGTCTTATACAACTCATCATCTCGCCGCTGGTAGAACAGCACATAAGCTGCTTTCGTCTAAAACACAAGAGGGGCAACATCCAATCACTGGTTGGAAAAATCACCCATTCCCCCACAGCTTTTCTCTCTGTTCAAAACACACCACTCTCAGGGATCCGCCGTCTTGCCCTGTGCAGCCACACACTGAAGTAACTGTGAAAACCCTTCTACCTGAGGCTGGCTCATGCTGACCCTCCCCAGGGAGTGGGGAAAGGCCTTGTGACAGACCCCGAGGAGAGATGAGCATCTCATTTAGGAAGGGTCCCATAAGGAATGGCAGCCAACTCTTTCTCTACCACACCTTGCTTCCACTGTCCCAGCAGGATGACTAAATAACCAACTAGCCCGGAAGACTTTTCCCAGCTCTAATCCCTAAAGGTAAGAGTGGGAACCAGGTATTAGGGCCTACTCACCACTATTTGATCCTCGGAGGCCAGGGACACACTGCTATCATCAAAGTAATACCATTTCCCATTCAGTTTGTTCTTCGCGTACGCAGTGTCTGCCAAAGCAAGAGAATACTCTAGCCGGTCACCAAGAGAGCTAACGTGGCTAGCTCGTTACAGTGGCACTCAACAGCAACACAATTCCAAAACATGAAACAAACAGAGTCTGAAATTAAAAGTAATTTATAGGTTGTGTCCTAACAACCAAAAGATAACTCAGCCTTTAAAAAAAACCCTGTTCCTAGGGAGGGTGGGAGGGAGGGAGGCACAAGAGGGAAGAGATATGGGGATATATGTATTTGTATAGCTGATTCACTTTGTTATAAAGCAGAAACTAACACACCATTGTAAAGCAATTGTACTCCAATAAAGATGTTAAAAAAAAAAATCTGTTCCTTCTCAAAAAGGCACTAAAAGGGTAAAAATGGAGCTGCTGGGGACCAAGGCTTTAAACTGTAATTTTGGAAAACTAATCCAAAAAATAGAGGAATCCAGTGTCAATCTTCAGGATGGCTATGAGCAATAACCCAGAGTCAGGGGATACTTAAAAGGAGCTGATACTTTAAGATTTAAACAAAACAACAGTTCTCAAAAACATGCCAAGTCAAACTCCCCCACTTCATCCAGGCAGATGGTTGGCTACTACTGCCTCTCACTGCCTCTGGAGCCTGTGGGATAATCCCAGAGAGGGACACATTGGGTATTTGGGTTTGCAAAGCTGGGATGTGAACAAGAAAACTTAAATATATCTGCCTTCGAAACTGTGAGTCAAGAATCTGCGGCTGGGTAACAATTCCTCACACCGGGCAAGCATTTCCCACAGACAACACTTCCAGTTTTGATTTTACACTATTTCGAAGCAGGATGTGTTTACAACAGGAATCCCAGCAGCAATACCCAATTCCTGCTCCACCCAGACTCTCAGAAACAACAGAATCTGATGGAGATTTGGTTTCCAGTCTCAACCTGCTGTGTGGCTTCAGCAAGCTGGTTTTTTTTAAGTTGTTTAACCATTACTCACTGCAGTGCCTACTGCACCAAGTGGTGGTGGACGACATGGGACAAAGTGACAGAGAAGGTGCCAAGGGCGTGTCCCCGCTGTCCGTGCTTGGCATAACAATAGCAGTGGTGGCTCTCAATCGTGGCGTTCCAACTGTGGACCCAATGTGGACCTGCACATAACCAGCCTAACCTGGATGAGGAAACTGAAGCCTAACCTGGCTGAGGAAACTGAAGCATAAAGAGGCTAAGTAACCTGCCCTAGCAGTGTTTAGATGCTAAAATGGAAGTTAAAAATGAATACATGTGTCCAGTATGCATGAATATAGATAGTGAAATTACTTTGGGGAGAAAAAAGTTAGAGTAAGTGCTGCAGGATATGATATGATCAGAGATTGCTAATAGCCTCTCCAGTAGAGCCCCAATTTTCGAACAGGCACATTTTTATTTCCCATCCTCTCCTACAGCTAGATGGTAGCCCTGTGACCAAGTGATAGCCAATGAGATGTATGTAGAGGAGTTGAGGGGGACTTCTGGGAGATCTGCTTAAAAGGGAAGGTCATACCCTTTTTTCCTCTTCTTCTAATGGCCTGGAATGTAGACCTGAGGGTTGGAGACTGAGCAGCCATCTAAAGGCAAGAGGTGATATGGTAAGAATGGAGAGGCAGGAGAACAGACTGTTGGGCCAACAGAAAAAGCTTATCAGTATAGAAGAGAAGACTGGGGTTTAGGGCAGTTCCATAATCCACTGTGAGTGTAAATGGAACTGACACCTCCCATGGTGTCATCTCTTGGGGTCCTGACACTGGGTGTAGTGGCAGTTATCATGGTGCAGATGCAATAGAAGAGAGATGAGGAAACCCAGCTCCTCACTTCAACATCACTAAAACCTTTCCATAAACAAGTAACAAAATAAACTAGTAAAAGTATAAAAGTGAAGATAAACCTACACATTATAGAAATTTTGGAAAATAAAGTAGAACAAAGAAAAAATTAACATTTTGGTCTCTCTCCTCCTAGGCTTTCCCCCCTCCTATCATAGTTTCTCTGTCTTTTGTTTCAATGTAGTTGTGATACTACTTTCTGTAATGATGCAATTTTGTGTAGCTGTTTTCCCTTAACATACCATGGGTATTTCCTCATGTTATTATTAATTTTATTTTGCAATGACTGTGTACTCTTCCATGAAATCGATGGACAGAAGTGCCAACGGTTGATCACCAATGCTATTATTAATTTTCCACTATTATAAATAATACTAATTTTTCACTATTATAAGTAGGTGAATATCTTTGCACATGAAGCTTTTCCCCAAAGTCAAGTAATTTCCTTAGGTTTCCCAAAGGTGGATTATTGGATTAAAGAATATGAACCACCATCCTACCAGAAAAATTGAGGGGCAGCAATATGGAAAAAGCCCGTAACCTGAGGCCCGTGGAGCTGTGTAAGTTAAGTGCTTAGGGCAATGCCTGGCACACAGGGATAGGCTGGTGAAAGATGACTGGCCATGGGCATTTCAACATCTCAGAAGGAAGCAGATTCCAGTACTTACAGTGGCCAACCCCCATGGCTCCATAATGATTGGACACGGCAATGAGGTCGTACACATAAGGCCTTGCTGACAGGTCACAGACAAACTCAGACATGTTCAGAGCTCTGAGCAAAGAAAACAAAAATAACCCTTCAATACATTAAACTCAGAGAAAGAAGTCAGAGCAACCCAGCAACCCCTTTCATGCAACAGGCTATAACACAGGGAGGCCCTCAGAAACTAAGTGCAGAAGGAACGAATGAACAGTCCAGACAGAAGGAGCCCTGGGGTCTTGTTCTGACCACTGACATGTTCAGACTGGAAAAGAGAAGCCTTAGCTGAGACCAAAGGTCAAAGAAGGGCTCTGGGCAGACACGAGGGCTGCAGCAACTTTGTAAAAATGGCTGTTACTATCAGAATTACTAATTAGTGCCATAAAAATTTAAGCTAAATACCAAAACAGGCCCCCAAAAGCTTTTTTCCCTAATGTTTTATTTTGAAAATTTCAAACATAGAGAAAAAAAGAATTTTACAACAAACATGTATACACCCACCGCCTAGGTCCTCCCGTTGACATGTCTATACTTCATGTAACTATCTACCCATCCCCCATCCCCCAAAAAGCATTTTTAAATCTGCATATTGTGGGGGGACTCCTACCTTGTTGACTGACTTGCCTGTGTCACTTATACTCTGTACCCTGGGGCCTAAGAGGACACTAGTAGACAGCCAGTCCCAATCCCTGCCCCAGGGACAGGACTGTGGTGGATCTGCACCCCCAAAAATCCAACTCTCCCCAGAAGATTACTCTCTGGTTCCTTGTGCCCCTGCATTAACGAGGTACAGCATGTCCTTGTGCTGCTCTACTGAGCCTGGGCTCCCTGGGACCAATGACAGATGGGAAGACCAGTTCAGTTAGGCTGCGTAAGGGACTCGAGAGAGGAAGTGCTTCTACTGGAGAGTCCTTTCCCTACAGACACGGAGGGGAAGTGAGCCAAAGCAACTTCTCAGAGCCTAGCAACACACACACCTTAACACAGAAAAGTCTTTGGCTCTTCTTCCGGTGTTGGTGCCCCCCCCCCGCCCCCCCGAAA